GTAATCACTTTGATGAGAACACACTCTGTGTTTCTTTATTTGATCTGGGAATAAAATTATCTTGTCTTTACTTCAGTATCTCCTTCTTATTTTTTCTAAAATAAATGTGAAGCTGTCAGAGCAAACACTGCCTTTCCCTGTTATAAGCCTTTTGATTTCTGCATTGAGAGAATTTTTCTGCACAAAAGTCCTTTTAGAATATGCTTGAAGCACTACATTTTCTTGCTGTCTTGTTTCCCATGTAGATACATGAGTACTGACAGTTCCTGATGTCCAAGTAGATTATACATCCTACCAAATTTTCTGTCCTCATAGAACTGTTTTGATTATTTATCATGAAGAAAATATTTAATATATCAGGCAGTAATTTTAGTATAATTGTTATTATAGCAACCAAAGCCAACAGTTGTGAAATTTGAGTCCTTTTGTACCAGTAAAACATACTGTAGCCCTCTGTTCCATAAAGAAGTACTTAAAGTGCTTGGCTTATGAACTATTCACCTACATGGCTGTCACAAGCTGCTAAACCCTTGCTGTGTAGCCAGGCCCTCAGAGTTGTCTCCTATGCTTTGGTGAGGGCACAACTTCAGCTCTTCTGTAAGGCTTTGTAAGATGGAGGATTTATTGCAAATTCTTGGTGGTATGAGCCTTTCTTTTGGAGGGAGAAGACAATGAGGTACATCAACTTTCTCATTTTCATTACGTAAGGGTTTGGGTAATTAATCTTTACCCAAGCATTTGGGTTAACCGCATGCTAGAATTGTTAACAATGATGATTGCACGCTGCTTTCTCAGGCTAAAGAAAGAGACATTGTAGTCAGCCATAGGCCACAAGTAACTTCACCGCAAGTTCTTTCAGTGTAGAAGGGGTGTAGGCTAGAGAATAATGCTGGCAAATTATCTTACTACTTTTTTTTAGCTTATTATTTGGAGGATCAAGCCACAAAACTATTCACCCTCAGTCTTGTCACCTGCTCCTGATAGTTTTGGTACCGCTTGCCACATTCACCAAGAGGCTGCAATATCTGCTGGGTAAATACTGGCAATCCTGGCCTAGAACATGGTGGCTTCTAAAAATAATCTAAAACCTGTGGGGAAAATGTGTTTGTCACAGACAGGTTTCTGTTATCTATTCTATAGAAAGTGATAACACTTTGAGTCCCAGCTCAGCATTGCGTCCATTCACTCCATGTCTTAACTGTGGATTTTCAAGAAAGCTGTAAACATGAATTACTGCTTGTGTTCTATAGACACTTAATGTACTAAACATCAACAAAATTATCTATTAGAAAAACAGAAAATCATGGGTTTATTTACAAATAAAGGGTCTCAAATCACAAGATGTAAATATTGTATGCTTTTAATTCTTTGGGAAAATCAGTAAGAAACACCAATTTGCATGGTTTGTGAAAATCCAAGCTGGTAATCTGTCTGAGACACCACCAGGGTTTCAGGGGATGTGTTCAAATGAAATGTTAATTATTTGCAGGTTTCCTTCTAGCTTAGAAGACACCAAGCTCCTTTTTGCAATGTGTTCGGGGATAGTTCCAGAGGCTAATGAGGAGATATAAAATCACAGTGAACCCAGTGACCATTTCAAATCCAATCCAAGTAAGTATTTTTCATTTGATCTTTAATCTGGTATCTAATCAAGGTAGGTATTTTTCATGTAGTCTTTAATCTGGTAGCTATCTGATAAAGGCATATGAGAAATGAGTTGACTGTGTCACTGCAATTTGCCAGACAGTTGTAAGAAATCATCTTCCAAACTGATGTATTTATTTGGTAGCACCTGTGAAGAAGCCGGCAACTCAACAGGAACAGAAATCTTGTCAACATTTGTCAAAGGACTGACACAATCAAAGGAAGAGAATAAATACAGTTTTCTTGCCTAAAGAGCAGCATTTCTTTCTTCAAATAACACCTGAGAGCTAAGCGAAGCAGTGGAAAGGAGGTGGCTTTACAGAGCAAAGAGCAATGCAGATGTTAGACATCTTCAGAGAAGAAGGAAACACATTTATCGCCAATGTACAGAGCACACAAGGCAAATTTCAGTCCCTGGATAAAATAAAATACCAGAGCCTCTAGCATCTCTGCCTCCTTCTGGTTGTTGAGGAGTACAGTGCAACTGCAATGTTAAAAATAAGTGGACCCTAAGATCGGGATTTCATTTATCATGAAGAGAACATTCAATTATTTACCTCTAGCTGATTTTCGTTACTGCTGAGAGGATCACTGTCAAGAAACAGTCAAGCCCTCTTCTCAGTCTGTTTGAGACTCTGGTGTTTATCTCAGCTTGAATCTTGTTGCAATAAGTAGTAATCTGGTATGTCCATCCTAGTCTTAAAACTGAAAGAGGTGGGTTCACAACTCTGTATGTTTCTTCAGTGCCTTAAGGAGTTTTCAAGACCCTGTCCTACGCACTGCCAGGAGGGATAGACCCTCTGCCCTGAAACTGGGTGTCCAAGCCCTACACACTGTCACTAGAGCCCCACTGAAACCAGTCCCCCACTGCCCTACATCACACTACCCCACAGGGTGGCTTCACCCTGGCTGCAAACTTCCCAAGGACTGAAAATACATCTGTTGATAGCTCTCTTAGGCTTGTTACCCCAAATCCTCCAAGTCTGGGGAGGGGAGGGCTTTATTTTTCTTTCTTTTTTTCTTTTTTTTTTTTTTTGTATGTTCCCCTTTATTTGTTTTAAGTTAGACAAACTGTAAGTGGTTTAACATAAACAAAGAGCAAGTAGTCTGTGTAGTATTAGAATGAACATTGGATTATGAGCTGAGGGACAGGGCTCAAAAGGCAACAATTCAGCAGCCAGTCAGTATCACCAACTGAATTTTTCTTTACTTATTTGAGGGTTTTTAGTGCCCTCTGGAAGGACATCAACAAGATTTAGGCACAAGCATATCACTACTGTAATGAACACTGATGAAAAGTATTGAGAAACTGGAACTGGAAATACATTTGCAATACTCCTTCTTTGGGAATTACTACCACAATTACACCAGTTTAGAAAGCAATACCTTTGTAAGTGCTTTTACCCCATCATGTATCACACTGGGGATTATAGCATTTTAATGACCTTGGTGTCTAAATTGTACACTATCTATAACCGTATGAAATCTAGGAGAATTTTTAGCCCTGTTGAGGCCATAGAAAATCTCCTAGAGACTTCATTGGAGCCAGCAAAATCCATCCTAATTTTCCAGGTGTGACCAGCTCCAGTCACAAAAGGGGCTTATATTTTCCTCATACTGTTAACATGAGTGAACTAATACTTTTCATATACGTATCCTAGAAATACCCTGGTTTTCATTTCAAAAAAAAGATGTTATGACATGGAATATACTGTTTCTTCATGAAACATGCACCTTTTAATAGCACTTACTGAAAGGGTGATATATACATCCCTATTTCTCCTGTCACCAAATAAAATGAAATTCATAGACCTGCTCTTAGCTAACGTGATACATGTTTTATGGCTAAATAAGGCCTTGAAAATGAAAATCTTCTGCCCTTCTCATGAGGTATATAGATCCAAATTAAATGAGGAAGTTAAGACACCTGCAAACCTTGAAAAGGGTGTATTGGCTTGTTCATTCTTCCTACGGATAATAAACTGACCCGTCAACCATCTCCTAGAGAGCAAGCCAAGGAAAGTGAATGTGGCCCTGCCTCAGCTTTCTTTGTATCCTTCCAGTATTCTGAAATTGGGCATGTCTTTTGGAGATAGGACTTTAAGAGATTGATAGATACCTTAGGATCAGTTTGCACATGAAAAGGTAATAATTGATCCCTGGCCACTCCATGAGCCACCATTTAGTGTGTTGTGCAATTGCAGAGGTAAATCAGAGTAGCTAGTTTAAAAATAAAAGGAGGTAAAAAAGCTCACTTTCCTTCAGCTTTAGAAAATATATGTTGTGTTAGAAAAGGTGTTAACTGACAACATCTTTTAACTGACATGGCAGTAAATATGACCAAGTACCGGCATTTACTCCAGTGTGCAAACTGACTTTGCAGGACCCTGGAGAGATTCCTGATGGTCTCTGTAGGATTTGGCTTGAGCTCCTCTGCAGGAATTAGTTCATGCCAGTGGAAGTAAATAGGCCCTTGGGGATGCTTTTGCTGTTGCTGAGGTATTTATTTTTATAATAATTTGTTGGCTGGTGCAGAGATGGGAAGTCACAACCACAGCTCCCGCATGCAAAGCTCCACACCATTCATCCTTATCAGCTAGAGCCCTTTGCAAGGACAGAAATGACAAAAGCCATAAACCTGAGGGCCTGGCTACCAAACACTTCCTGCATCCTAATGGCCACTTGCCATGCTTCTGGGAGTAGCTTCTGTTCCAGTGCCTCCCAGCAACTAGCAAGCAAAGCTGACCCCTTGGACCATGAGGTAACGCAGGCTGAGGGCTTCAGAAGATCACAGCATTTTTCTGACTCAGAGCCAATAAAATGCACTTCTTGTGAAGGAGCCTCCCTCAGTATTCACAGCTTCCAGTGGTTGCTCACACTGTGTTATCATCATTCAACAATCCTTTGTCTAGCTTGTCTTCTAGGAACCTCCTGGCTAACAGAGCTCAGCATCATTTGAGGAGCTACTCTTCTAGTGTTCAAAACTGTCACCATATTTCTCTATTCTCACTTTTAAATCATGTAGAAAATAGGAGGGGAGCACAACTCCCTATCCACCACCTCAAAGGAAAAGAGGGCAGATTGGTCAAGGACCACATTTTGTTAGTCAAAGAAGAAATGAGGTTATCCTCCTTCCCTTGCTAGACTCCAGCATTTGAAATGAATGTAAGACTAAAAGGGCCTTTGATAATGACACTGCACTTTCTCATCATGCGCACTCTTTTATCAGCACTTACAGACATTTGAGCACAGAGTGGAGCCCTGTAGGATTGGCTGGTTTTCACGTTTTTAAGCATTGTTTTCTCACTTATTTCCTGTTTTCTTACCAGCAGGCTCAACCACATCCAAAAGCTAGCTAATAGTTGCATTGGTATCTCTGCCAGCTTTGTTTAAATTCCCTTTTCTACTCTTTAAGCAAGCTTGGAGCTCCAATTATTCCCCTTTTGATACACAACTTAAGAAAAACTTGACTTGAGGTCAACAGTATCTTAAAAAGGAGACAGAAGGCTTGGGCCGAATAGGAAACAGGTAATTCTGCTGCTAATTGCAAGTGCTGGAACATAGACTTAGCATTTTCTAATAACTTTCTCCAGCTGCCAGTTACTTGTTCAAAATGAAACACATATACTTCAGGAGGAAGAGGGCTGATGGGTTTCTAAGTTAAAAGAAATGTCAAACATCTGCATGCCACCTGGTAGCCTTAACCAAAATTTCTCCCTCCTCTCAGCTGCTGTTTGCCTCGTTATGCACCCATTGGTTGCAACCTCCACTCCAGCAGTGGCTGCATTTCAGTGGCTTTGCAGCTATAGCATGATACCAGAATCTGTAGGCTTCATTTTCACCAAATCCAAACTCCCACTGGAGTTCACCTGAGGAGGCAGTTAGAGAAAGTGACCTTGAGCCGCAAAACACATTTCGGAGCATCAGAGTCCAAACCCTTTCTGCAGTATGTAGCCTTCCTGGGAAACCATGAGCCCCCTGAATACCCACCCAGCCGAACAGGAAAGCCTATGTTAGTGTTGGACAGCTGTAACACCCTCATGATTCGTGAGCAGAAAACATCAAAGGCCCCTGAATCTCAGAGTCGTAGCTCCCTCTCCTGGCAGAGCACTGTAGTGGTAACAGAAACGGGGGCTGTGCGGGGTGCTCCCCCCGGCACGAGCGAGCCTGAACTCCGAGCTGCTGCAGCTCTGCAGAGGGAGGTGCAGGGGAACCGTGCCCCCATGAGCACTGTCTTCTCCACAAGGATCCCACTGGAAATAATGCACTTGTAGCTCTGCTGGCAGATTAATACAGGATTAGTGAAGGCAAAATCTATTCTAGTGAAGAACATCTGCCAACAACTTTAGCCACATAAAAAATATGTACTTGAGCACAGACAAAACTTTGTTGCTGTGCTTTATTCGTAGTCCTTAAGGTTGGGGGTAATGCAATTTATTCTTTAATACTTCGATAAGACTGACTCATATGCAACTGTGCTGTGATTCCTCTCCAACACCACAGCCTCTTTCTGTTGCTGTTTTCTGCAAACACCAAGACCACAGAATGCTTCCCCAGGCTGTAACTTACTCCTTGAGAAACACACATCTATCTGTCTAGATATGAACCTGTCAGTGCAGCAGGTAATGTACAACACCAGGGGATCTCATTAGTAGTCTCAGCCCTTCAGAAACATATGTTGCATTTCTGTATGTGAAGGCACACCTTATTGACCCTATGTCCCAAGAAGCACCCGTGACATCCCTGATTACTGATACACCCACTGGCACCATGTCCTTGGGTATGACATGTGTGGCAACACCAGAGATGAAAGCGTGGCACCTGCTGCTCTGGCCCAAGGCTGAGCCAGTGTCCATCTCAGCCACCAGCATGTGCTTCTACCTCTTCAGAGAACAAGCTGGCTCCTAAAGTAGGGCACACAGCAGGGGTGCAACCTGAGAGCACAAGCCTCTGACAGCAACCTGACCTGCAAGTGCTCAGCTGGCACAGCACTGCAGCACCCACCCTTCCAGGCTCAGCACTGCTCCTGTTGTGTAAAGGTTCGTGCAGTTTGGCCAGCTCAGCCACGGGCCATCAGCAGCTTGGGTTGAGCACATCAGCAATTCAGTTTTGTAGCATTTGATTCATTTATTCTGTTCCCACACTAAGGGTGGCTGAAGTCAACCAAAAGCCTCCTTAGGAAGTGGGTGGGCTCAGACCTCTGGGGACAGGACCTGTTAGCAGACCTTCTTCATTCTTGCTATTTCTGTGGAGAAAGTGGAAACAGGGTTTCCCATACAAGTCGAGAGCTCTCGTGGCAGTTTACAGTGGTCTTTTTTAGAGGATTATTTGAGGGCTTTTCACTTTTTGTCAATGAGTTTATAGCTCTTGTTTACAAGGAGCAGGAGGCAGCTCACAGATGCACATGCTGGTTTCTGTTGTGGTTGTGTTTCGTCCTAGGTTTCACACCAGTGCAGTTTTCCCAAGATGATGGTCTTTTACTGTCAGCGGATTGCTTCAGGAGGCCCCCTCACACTCCACCACCAACTACAGCTCCTGCTTAAATGGTAAGGCCTTAACTGTGTTCTTACAGATTCTTAAACCAAAGCTGAAGCTGCAGAGAAGGTATTTAGTAAGCCAAGGCAGTGGCTCATAAAGCGTCTCATTATAAGTTAAGCATCCTGGTCTAGGAGACTTTCTGTATATTAGTCAGAATTAAATTATTGTTACTTCCTCAGGGAGAGAAAAAGGAGATATTGAAGAAGAGAGAGAAAAAGTGAAAAATATGTTTCTGGATAGTGCAACGATCTCTGAACTTCCCCAGGGGATTTTACCAACATGCTCATTGGTTTCATGTTAGGTATTGTGCTTACTCCTAGCTTACACAGAATTACTGGTGTAAACTGAACATACCTACTGATGTTTGCTCAGTCTGTTTTGCAGACTGAGGGTATATTTTCAGACATCTGTATATGCTCATGATTTTTTTCATAACGTTATCTTTTAATGCTGTAATTTTCCCAGTTTGAACATGTTTTCTTAAAGCATAGAAAGAATATTTACATACTTCAAGTTCTGCTTCCCCACAGTTCAGGATTTGGCCCCTTGTCTGACAGTTGGTCTTGCGACACAGCTAGTTTTGAAAGAAAGAGATGTTGCACCTAATATACTTTTCTTTTTTATTTATTTATTTTCACCTGCTCTCTAACTATGCCTCCAATTTGAGACATAGTTTGTGGTCTCAGACAGAGAAAGGGAAGATGAGTCAGTAAGTACAAAAGCTTCCAGCACGGAAGAGCACTAGATGAAACAGTGGTGTTGTCCTGACCAGCCAGCAATCCCAAACTGAGCTCCTCCTCTAAACCTGAAAGTCTGCATTTCCTGAATCAACAGGCCCAGCACAGGGCTTGCTCTCACCACCATTACTCATATAAGAAGCCCTGTTCACATCACTGACTACACATGTGATTTAAGTCAATACACAAAGTGGCTGATATGTGTTTTGTAGCCATGAGGAGAGTAAGCAGTCAATTCACTAAACTTTGTAACTGGTCACAGAGGGACATGGAAAAGTTCTGAGTCCTTAAATCAGAGCTGGCCATCTCTCAAAAAGGGACAGTCTAATTCAACTAAAAGTGGTTGGGGCTGGTGGAGAAATTATGGGGCAAAATAATTGTATGGCTGCTTTGATGCAGTAGACCAAATTACATGATGGTCTCTTAATGTCGTGGGTATTTTTACCTGAGGAGGGTGGTATGTAAGGCCATAGGCACACATGGTAGACTCTAACTGGGTACTAACTCTTTTGATTCAATTTTGCAGAGCTGTGCATCTATGGGGAGAGTTGTCATTCTGCCTCCCAAGTACCTCCTCAGGAAGAGAGCTTAAAACACATAGTTTCATGCTAAAAAACATCCAGTCCTTTGCTTCCAGCAGTAGCTGATGTAGGAGGAAAGAGCTGCCCACTCTTCATTTACAGACCAGTCTGGCTGCACAGCTTCATAGGTAAGGACAGGCCAGTGCATTTACACTGGTCCCAGGAATACTGCTACTGATTGTGCTCACTGAACCATGTTATATCAGCTGCGCCATGTCAGAGGAGCATGTCCAAGAGTAGCTACAGCTAACAAGGATCTGTTTGAGAGAAAAAAATGAGACCAGAGACTTACGACAATTTCAAGTGTAGAATACAGCACGAACAGAAAGAATGAACTAAAACACTTTTTCTAAGTAGAGTCATTCTGCATTTCCTATGGGATTCAGTTGAATGGGGAAATATAAAAAGAAAAGGGAGAGCAGAAACAGCTTGCAATACAGAATAAACCTCGAGCACCAAGAATATGCTCCAGATTTGTTTAAAGGTGCCTGACTCTTATCTCAGCCCCGATTCATCACAGTTTACTCCTAGAATGATTCAGAATTCAAGGACCTTGCTCCTATGAGGTTAATGGGTTACATTCAGCACTGAAAAACATGACACAAATAGCTGCTTAATTATTCAGTCCAGACTGACTTTAGTGGTTAATGGAAATAAAAATAGCAACAGCAACAATTACACTGGTTTACGTTTCGCAGGTGAAATGATTTTTTCTTTTAACTGCATAATCCAGGACTGTGCACAGGAGGAGGGGGGCAATATAAAGGAGGGGTTGCGCTGCTTGTGACACAAAAGATTAGCATACCCATGACTGAAGAGGAGGAAAAGGAAAACACTGCCATAAAAGTGACAGTAGAGGTGAAGAATTGTGGTGAATGTGTAATGCACCACTGAAAAAATGCAGGAGAAAACATACCAAAAGTCTTATCGTATCTATCCTGCTACTCCAAAGCAGGAATTAATTTGAAGGGAAGAAGCTGCTGCTCTTGTTGGCTCACATCACTTGTTCATAAACACAGGCAAGAAAAATGCTGAAGTGATACGATTACCATAATTACTGTCTTTGTTCAAAAAATGCAGTTGTGGTTTTCTACCCTGAATTTTGTTCAAGCAGCCATTGTGGCTAGTACCAATCAGGAGCTAACAGCACATACTGCAGCTACTCTAGGAGCAAACACAGTAAATCTCCCGCTTCAAATGCACCAGCCACACAGAATGTCAGAGCATATTACAAACACTGGAGCACCTAGAGGTATTAGTCACTGTTCCTGTTACAAGGAATTTGTGTGTAGCTTACCAAAGATACAGTGTCAAACCAATCCTGGCAAACATATGCCACTCTGATAGCAGACAAAACCAATTTAGAGTCAATGGATTTAAATGTAGGGTTTCTGCAAAGGGTCAGACTTAACATTTAATTAATTGAGCCCTGTTTTGAAAGCATGCTGTGGCAGCAGGGTGAAAATAGGCAGGCCAAAGAATAAACAGGATCATTTTAAGCCCAAATCATCCCCAAATGCAACACTGCTGTGTGTAAGGGTGTATCAAATTAAGGCAATCATTCCCAAACCATACCAGCTTCCTGTCTTGCTGCAGCTGTCTAGGGAATGAGCTAAAGACAGGGCTCTGCTGCCTGGAGGAGGCTGTAAAGCCCTGGTTAAACAGGTATCTGTTTGAGTTTGGATAAGGCTTAAAACAAAGCAGGTTAAATGATTTGTTCACTTGATTATACTTAGCAGTCCTGGTCACTAATCTCTTGCCTTCTCTTTCTGATTTGCTGTGATAACTGCTGCGCTGCAGCAAAAGAGGGGGATTAAGACAAAATGGGGTGGTTTTTTTACTTTTTTTTTTTTTAATTAGTAGAAAAAAAATTCACCTGAAAAATACAGAGGCCAGACCTATTTACAAGACCAAGTTTGGGTTTGAATTCTAAGTCACCTCTAATTCGCTATTCCTTCTTCCTGTTTACAACTGCTGCCTTTTTTTTTTTGGTCATGTCATTGAAAAAGAGGGGAGCAAAATGGAAAAAAAAAAAAACAGGAAAAATGCTAGAACATCCATAAAAGTTGGTTTTGTCTCTTTATTTAAGCCCTTAAAAAGTTGAGGTTATTTCTTGAAGTTTCTCAAAACATAGAGAAAAATTTGGGTTCTATACCTTACTTTTTTCACTGTGGTACTTCATACTGCTTTCTGGCCAAGTGAAGGTTAATATTTGGACACATTTGGAATAAAAGAACAGCAGTGTGTTCTTTGTAGTATTAACATAAAGGCTGCATTGTCAATTTTGTATCGAAGGAAAGCTAGAAGGTGATCATTTTGGTTTTGGCACAGAAGATAAAGGGTTACTGCCTGCATGTCACTAGAAGTACAAGATTCTTCTGCAAGCGGCAGTGGTGGGAAGGGAGTTTTGTGCTGATGTCGCAGAAGGAAAAGGATTACTGTGCAAATGATGCTCAATGAAAAGGATTAGACCACATATGACGTGGACAAGAGAGGTCATTGTGTGCACATCATAGAAGGAACAAGGTAGTGTGGCATGGGGTTGGAAGGATTCTTTGAAAGTCAGGAATAAAATGAAAGAGAGAAGAGGGACTACAATTGTGTGAGTGTAGCTGGAAGATAAGGTTTCTTGTGGGCAAAAATAAGTAAAGAAGGAAAGCAATGGCTGCATTCCTAAGAAGTACAGTTTGTTCTACAGCCAAGGACATCAATTTTGCAGAAAAAACAGAGCTCTGTGACACTCATTAGTTTAAAGGAATAAGCCATTTTTGCAAACACTTTGAGTTATAATTGGATAATGGTATCTCAGAGAGATACTTTGTCATTTTGACCTCAACTCTCTTACAGGCAAGGAGTTGGCTCCTTCTTAGGTTACTCCTTTTTTTCCTTACTCCTCTAATGAAAAGTAAGTGCCTCACAAATCACCATATCCTTCTCAAGAAATAAGAACCTTGTTCCCAGAGTAAACCACAGGTGAGATTGGATGCAAGCACTGCAGGTCTGCTGGGCATTCAGCATTTTTCTTCTCTAGCTAGGAATCCCAGTCACCAAGCAGTAAGATAGATGGGTCTTATCTGCATGTGAATGGAGAAACAGTGCAAGCCTAGGAAGAAGGTCTTTGGTTGTTGTTTCCTTTAAAATATGTATATATCCTGCTCTGTAAGAAAAATATGAATGAAACAGAAGGATTTCACGTTCTTTGTGGCACATTTCCACACCACAGCAGCCACCAAACCCTGACTTCAGCTGTACTTTTGTAAGATGTTATAGGTAACGGCATATGTTTAGGTGTATTGCATTGTTTTTTTGTCACAAGAAAGGCAAAGTAACGTGAAAATAGAAATTATTTCTACTTTTATTATGCCAGTTTCTGGTTCAAGACTTCCCAGTTATCTGGGGGTTTGTCTGTTTTCACACAATGATCCTGGCATCCGGTTATTCATAACATGTCACTCTCAAAGACTGCAACACTTTGTACCAGGAACTGCATTTCAGAGAAGGTGAAGCTGGGGTCAAACACATTCCTGCTAATTGTACCGATTGCAGCCAAGTTATTCCATGACTGCATTTTCTCTCTGATGTTAGAGGGGGCAGCCACTAATTGCTTTTAAGGAGGACCCAGAAAAATGATTAGAGGTTGGACAGTAACTCCCTGCCCAAGTGTATAGGGCGCATGTGCACCTGTGCACCCGTGAGATAAGCACTGCTAATCTTGTGGGGAGTGTGGTATGTGAGGAGGATGTGCAGGTCAAACTATGTAAGGGTTTGGAAGGGGATACACAAGCAACCAGTGATGGAAAGGGGTTTCTGTATGTCCATTCATCTTGTACTGTTGGTACAGACTGCATAGAATAAATCTGCTGTATTAATCTGATTTCTTCAAAGCTGCCACCTCTGCAGTGGCATGGCCACTGGCTCATTTCTACAATGCTCAGACTATTCTCTGGCTCCACAAAGCCTACATCTATTGTTAGCATGATCCCAACATGTAGCATATAGGTTTCCTTCCTGATCTGACCTTTTCTTATAATTTTCCTGTTTATCAAATGTATACTCTCTCTTTAAGTTGAAAAATTCATAGGGAAGGAGAGCCACAGAAGGTCTAATTTGTGCAGAATATCACAGAGCAGTCCTGGCCCACTGACGTGCAATGTCACAAGGGCAACCAAACTCTGCCCCTCCACTGTAATTTCTGATTTGACATATCAGAATAAGCCTCAACTCATGATTCTGTTTTAATTATTTTCTTGTTTTCCACTTTCGCCATAAATCCTTGCTTCCTAAACCTTTCCTACTCAGAAATTCAAGTTCTGAAACCTGTCTGAAATGGTGTCCTGTTTTGTAAATATTTGTTGACCAAGTCACCCTGCACTTTATCACAGAGTGCAGCCTTGCAGAGGAAGTGTAATTGCCTGGGATTTGGGAAGGTTTGCCTGAAAGTGACTTACATAAGATTGGCTTCTAAAACTATTTCTTATAAGGGCTCTGCAAAATATCCACAATGCCATTTGCAGCCATTCCCCATGACAGTGTTGGCCTGGTCTTATGCTTCAGTGTACATTTCCCCAGAGGCAGGCAGTGACTGTGCAGAAGGTTTTGCACTGGTATCAGGAGAAACTCAATGTTTTCAGTTCAAGACTGTCTAGTTTAGAATAAGTCGATGTGGACTTGAACCTGGTATCTAGAAGAAAAATCAACACAATCCTCTCAAATGAAAAATACAATCAGCAACTATATGCAAACAGCATCAAAGCTGCATTACGCACAGAGTGACAAAACAAGGTGCTGTTTCTGGTGCTATTGCAGGACACCCATGACAAGGGAAAAGTAGTTGGTACTGGCCCCATAGAAACTGTGTTTGAGGATAGGAATTGTTCAGCTTATCATTAATTCCACCCTTTACCCTGGGTGGAATTCTACCCTGGATAGAAACAACAAAGAAGCAGCAGTATGGCTGCTTTTCTGTTAGGTAAATGCCTGATGAGGTGTATTTGCTTGCGAAGGGGACAAGCATGACCTAATCAAAGGTGATCTAGTGGCACAGATTTCTTCCCTGATTTTGCTCTTCCCAAAGATGGTATCTTGCAAGCCAAGGTTTCACTTCAGACCCACTGTTCAGAAAGACATTTGAAAGCAAGGCAGAGGGAAATTATCTTCTCTTTAACCCACCTGTGTTGTGAGGGATTCTGTTTTCTCTATTAAAGATGATGAAATTGCTAACCCAAACAGCTCCCTGCCCTCCATTTAGGGATTAGTGACTTCATCCACACAAGCAGAACAAACATGGAGTGCAGAACTTAGATCTTGACAAGTTCAAAACCTCCCAGTCTGAGATGAGAAAGCAAGAAAACACTCACCGCAGTAACACTGAGTTTTTTTAAGAATGAAGGGACCTACAAGCTAATTATAAAGGCTCTGGGAGTCAATTGGTTAAGCCCATCGCTGGTGTAAACCTAAACCTGGTATTCTTCCAATTCAAACAGTGGAAAAGGGGCAAACAAGAAAAATCCTTGGATCATCTGATTAGATGAAGCAAATGGTAAAGACACTCCTGCAACTGCAGTTCATCATGCAATTAGTTTCTTAACAGCTTCACCATTCAGATGGCCCCTTTGCTGGCACGGTGCCACGCTGGCCAAATAAATCAGCTTCACATACATGACAGTAAGTCAGAACAGCAGCTCCAGGCCTCCAAAGCTAAACTGAAAGGCTCAATTGAAAGAGAGAAGTAAGGCTTCAATAGGTAGGTGTAAACAGACCAATGAGAAAGGGAGGATGGAGCCTTACAGTACTGGAATAATACTTGGAGATATCCAAAAGCCCCTACAGAATAGAAGAGCTTGCCAAAAGCAGTTTGTAAGTGAAGGCCTTCATATCTCTGGCCCTGTCATTGAGATTAAATAGGATCATTGGGAATAATGGTGAAGTGGGATGCATATTTAATTAGAGAAATCAGTGAACCCAAATGACTGGGAGGGGGTAAATCACTAAGGTCCAACTCCTCCTGCCCCTACTCAGCAATATTTCAGACTGCTGGCATTGCAAGTGGATCTCGTGCGTGGTACATCACTAGCAAAGCAGAGTGGACTTTTGTGATGTCTCTTTTGAACATGGAAGTGCTGTGAAGGGAACAGGGAGCAGGCTGCTCTGCTCACATGAGAGCTGCCATCTTCAGAAATAGGAGCAGTCACTAGGAAAGAAAGTGATCACACTGCACTAGGGCAAACCTGAAGTGTCAGTCTCTGGGGTGTTGTGGTTAAATCCCAGCTGGCAACTAAGTACCACACAGCAGCTCGCTCACTTCCATTGCCATCCCTGGTGGGATGGAGAGGAGAATCAAAAGAAGGTAATACCTGCGAGTTGAGATAAGAGCAGTTTACTAATTGAAATAAATTTAAAATACTGACAAAAATAATAATAGGAAAAGAGAGAGAGGCATAAAACTCAAGAAAAGCAAGTGGTGCACTATACAATTGCTCATCACTCACTAACCGTTGCCCAGCTCATCCCTGAACAGCAGCAGGTGGCTCCTGGCCAGTTCCCCCCAGTTTGTATACTGAGCACGACATTCTGTGGTATGGAATACCCCTTTGGCTGTCCTGGCTGTGCCTCCCTCCTGGCTTCTTGTGGCCCCCCTCACTGGCAGAGCATGGGAAACTGAAGAGTCCTTGATTTTGAGTAAGCACTACTTAGCAACAACTAAAACATTGGTGTGTTATCAGCATTGTTCTCAGACTACAGCACAACACCACATCAGCTACTAGCAAGAAAATTAACTCTATACCAGCCAAACCCAAGACATAGGGTTAGTCACAAATGGACATGGTCACAATACACAGACACATTGGGCTCTTAAACCAGGATAAAATTAAAATCTTGATTTTTTTTTTTCCTCATAGCAGTGTTGCTTTTGGAAGCTGGCTGAAAATTATTTGACAGAATTATTTTGGCTAGCAAATGTTATTTCATCAAAAAAAAACCCCACTGTGTATGTCAATTACAGGAGATAAAATCACAGTAGAGATTTTTCAGAAATATTTTGGGGTTTATTTCAGTATTGTCATCTCAGTGTTTATTTTCTCTTATGATTTTAGGAAGCAGAAAAGTTAAAGTAAAAATCAGCCCCTAACTTCTGACTGCCAATGTTTCATTACACGAGGCATTTTCACTTCATTTTCTTTTGGTTTTATTATATACTGAAATATATCTCTATATAATATAGATATATTCCTGGACAACTGCGCAACTTAGTGCTCAGGTAACTTCAGGAAAATGTCCTCTGACTTCATAAGCACATCTAAAATGGGAACCAGATTATTTCAGGTGTTTACAGACAGGGAAACAGAGTTGTCATTTTCTGTAATGTATGCAAGAACTAACTGACAAACCATGAAGTCTGGCATTAAGTAACCTTGTAAGTATTTGGTTTGTGGTTGGGGGGTTGCAGGAGGGCAGGGGGAGATATTAAAATTAACCAATACAATGTTTCACAAAAATAGTGTGTTGCTCTGAAACAAGAAATTATTTAAATTCTTTTGAAAAGCTTGACTATGTAACATGCCTTATAACTCCCTTAGAACACTGTGGAAAGGAAGGAATTTTCTTGCAACAACATTTTGGGATTAACTGAGCTATTTTGCCCAAGGCATGATTTAAGGTACTTACTTAACGCAATTTGTGTTACTGTTTGCATAAGAAATCCTACTCCACAACTATTTCTAGTGTCATAGCACCAAAGTCAGTGAGTTTACACCAAGGATGAATTTGCTCTCATCCTGTTTTCTTCACTTTATTTATTTGCCTTGGAAACCAGAATCACCCACAATTACTAATATATCGAGTCTAAATATTTGGCACCAGTCTTTAAAAGCATTAAAAGCTGAATGCAAGAGTTCCTGATCAAGCTGATACCTAAACCTAAAGCAGTCATGATCATTTCACTTGATAATTCTGGATGAAATGATCTGGCCTGCAAACCAGCTGATTTAAAATTAAAAAGTAATATTTGCATATTAATACCTAATTTCTCCACTTGAATCCATGCCACGGAACTGCCATTGACTCATAATTCAGACCCTGATGTACTTCTGGTAACACAAAGATGTTGTACCCTGTGTTTGGCTTCTGTGGGACTTGGCTTGTGGCTTTCTGAAGGCAAGACACTCACCCTATCTTGTGGCAATTTTGGTTTCTTTACCTAAAACAAAGAGGGTTTTTTTCACAAGTAAAAGAGAAAATACATTGGTCTGCAAATAAATCTAAAGATTTATAAAGGCTTTTCAGTATTGCTAAGATGCTGCTGAACTCATCTGTCATTAGATCTAAAGATATTTTAGAATACACTTAATTTACTGGAAGACATACACATACCTTTTAAAATTAAGCCAGTGTTCTGTATAACACTGCTCATTTTCAAATTATAGCTGTTAAAAATATAGTTGTAAATTATTTTTTAAATACTTGGCTGTATGTTCTTACTTTTAATCATAAATTCCCACATTTTGACATGTTCTGACCAGTGATACTGAAACCAAATCCACAGGGAGTCAGAACACTTCACAACAGTCCTGACCCAGAATCAGTCAAGTCTCATGTTCTGGGGGTTTGGCTGGGGCTTTTTCCCTGTATGCATGTACCTAGGAGGCAAAGATATTCATCACAAGAACCAACCACACAGACTGAGATTTCTATCTAATTTACAACAGTATAAATCAAAGTAACTTCACTGAGGCTGAGGGAGCTCAACTCATCAGTTGTAACAAATATAAAACATGAATTAGTGCCAGTTAGGATACTGTGTGATTATTTTTTTCACTGAAGACATGATGGAAGTTTTTTCATTAGCAGTAAAAATAATTCTGTTCTTTTTCATGCATTTTTAGTGAAGTGTATATTAAATTTTGAACAAAATTCCCATTTTCTATGAAAGAATGGAATTTCATAATTTTACAAAGAATTTCATCTACCTGAAAGCTATTTTCTTTAGGAAAACTGTTCTGATGGAATTTTTCTGACCTGCTTTAAGATGAAGTCATAATTCATACAAATAAGACACTGCTCAGCAGATGTTCAGGAAAGAGCAAGCCAGTGAGCAAGCACACACGCATCCCCACGTGGTTACACTTGAGGTTCTTGGTGTAGAAAACAGGAAGGACAGGACAGTGACTAAAGTGGTATGAGGGCTATGAGAGTAATTGGGGTTTAATTCAGTAGGGCACCTAGGTTTTATTTCCAGGAAAATAAAATCATATCAAATTCCATTTCAGATTAAACAGTGCTATTTTGACTCTTAAGGAAACCTTTCCAAACACCCCTTACCCGGGTTGTTGTGAAGCCTATCTCCTTTTTAAAAGGCAAATTAAAAATTCTGATGTTAGCCAATGTTGAACTGCGTAGCTATAACTATCCATGAAGTTTGAACTGAATTGTGTAGATATGAAACTGCCTTTCACAGTTAGTAAGCTGACTGCATGAGAAGAATCTGAATCTGAAGAAGACTCAGAAACCTCAGCTGAGGATCAGCTTTGCTCTGTGACTGTACGTCACCTAAGTCAGATCTTCACAGGTACCTGGCTCCCAGAAAAGCAGTATTTTGAAGATCTCAGCCACAGTGTCTCTGTAGTAATTCTATAATTATACCATTGGCTGAATTAAGGTACCTGCACAAATCTAAGGAGCAAGGCCCCAGCCTGATGCAGTGATTTCTTCTCTGGAAGCAGTGCAGGTGACACCTGACAGTATTTCCATGTAGAGAAACGCCCTCTCTTTCTTTCCCCGAAAACACAGGATTTCTTACAGAAGACAAAAATCCCTTATTTTCCCGTGTCATGTCTAATCCCCTCCTGTTTTCTAGATGCGAGGACTGAGACCACACAGCGTTGAATCATACTCTGCTTTGTAGCTTTGCTTTGTGCTTTGCTGAGGACAGAGACCGGGCAGTGTTCCCGGCGAAGAGCCGCTGTCTATCGAGGAGATGGATGGGCTCGGCTCCCGCTCTGCCCAGCTGCCTCTGAATGCTCCCGGCTCATGGGAAATGGCCAGAACCACTGAATTTCAGCCATTGATCCCCTCCCTCCTTTCCTCTCTTTCTACCTCTTTCTTCCCTGCATTCCCTGAGGGTTCTCTTGGCTGGCTGAAGGCGCTGCGTTGCTGTGGGCAGGCTTTGATCGCAGCCCCTGCTGCTGGGGGCGGAGAGGTGGGCACAGCAAGGGCTGCGGGCTGGTTTGGGTTTACAGCACGGGATTCTGTGAATGGAAATCCTTAAAATAAAAATAAATACGTAAAATCAAGTGGCTGTAGCTGCTGTCAGAGCCATTTCACAGTAGCCGAGTGCGTCTGCTTTTTCTCACCTCCAAAGCAAATCAATATGGCTTTAAATGATTTCCCTGATGCCTGGATTTCTTCCCTTGCGCTGCTCTTAGTCCAGCCGTGCAGTTGCCTGGTCATTCCTACCTCATTTTTTCAGTCTTTCTCCCCTGGCTTCTTCTTGCTGCCTTCTCTTACAAACACATACAGAGTACTCACTGGAGCAGCTTGGGTTTGCTCATGTGTCATTTTCTCACACACACACATTTGCCATCACTTGCAGCCACACACACACTCATCACAGTGCCTTAATGCTGCTTGACTGTATCTCTATCCCTCTCCCCTGTACACACACACGCTGCCTGGCTGGTCGCTGCCTAAGCAACATCTGCTTATCAGGAGTTTTTCTTCTGATGCGGTGGTCAGTGTGGATGCATTCATGTTTACTTGCACTCTGTCTGTTGAAGATGTTCACGCTTTAAAAAAAATAAATTTCATAAATAACCTCTTGAGCTCTGTTTTTTTTTTCTTTCCTGTACACCTTTTTTCCCTTGGGACAAGCATATTTGAGTGTAAACCTATAATTAGTGCTGGAAATAAAAGACCCACACACAGATAAAGCCATGCTTTGGGGACTGCCCCATTTTTCTACATCCTGCCTAATCATGGATTTGGGTTGTTCAGAACATGAGGTATCACTGACGGCATGAAAAGCCCTCAGAAATGCTTATGCATCATCTGAGTATATTGATGTGCCAGTGATGTGCTGAGAGAAACCCAGAGCCCATCAGTGTAGCCGGCTGATGCAGGAGTCCCCTGAATTCCCTTATCACTTCACTGGTGCATAGAAACACATGAGCTGCTTATTCCAGACAGAGCCCTCAGCTTACAAATCCAAACTGCTTTCACCAGTATCATTGCCCCTTTGTTACTTATTTATTTTTACTGTGTATTGTTCTCTCACTAATTTTGCATTTTGAGGTGCTTTTATATGCCTAGTCACCCGCTTCAAGTGTCTAGGAGATCATTACTTGCTTCTGATTAGCACAGTGCATTTGCGCGGTGCGCTGGAGGCAAAAATTTAAAATGTATCAAAATGCAAATATGCCCCCATTGACCTCTGGGAAAAATGTGTTACATTTACAGAGCACTTTCAAAGGAAACCGGAAAGGAAGAGGAGAGTGAATACGGGTTTTAGAGAGATTTGTAATAGTAAAAACAATAATTGCGAATGGTTACTTAGAATTTTGCATTCTGTGTAAAGCAGAAAGACTTTCTTTCTTGTTTTTCCTTCTTTACAGAGGGAATGGAGGGACCAGATGATGATGCTCCTGCCCACTTTGTGTCTCACTCTGCTTACACTGCTAGAAGAACCACTGAAGTGAATGGGATTGCTTGTGGTACATATTTTTGCAATCTGCCAAGATTCAAACATGTAGCCTAATACATGGCAATGGCCCAGAATGAGACACAGAAATTATTCATGATCCTTCTTTCAGTGTGAAAGACTCCTTCTAGAACCTCAGCTTAATGACTCTGCATTAAAGAAGTAAATGATTCTCACCAAGAGAAGTGAGAGGTAGCCAAATTTACCTGGAGAAAATAAGGGTGGTATTAAGACAAGTGACATCCCTGCAGTGAGTATGCCTCAGAAATGCACTGAGGAAAAAGATGCAATGTTACCCAAGTTATTTGAGCTGGTTGCTCTTTTACCCTCAGTGGTAACATTGGATATGCTCTTTCACTAGAGAAGACTGCAGCTAGATGTTGGGTTACGCTAGCAAAGAAAGTATTCCCTCACCCCCAAAAGAAGTTTATGGCCTGGCCTTATCCTCAGTCTCCATAATGCTTTTCTGCAAATACTTGTTTGCCTGGAGGCATGACTTCTCTCTCATCGCCTGACACAGCCAAAAATGGTGATGTCCTCTCAAAGCAAGAAAAATGCTTTAAAGTAACCTACCCTGCCCAAGCAAGAATCGGTATGAAAGTTTAGTACTGGGTCAGTGTTCAAATTAGCACTGCTGGTGTAATGAGAGAAGTCATTATGGCATCTTGTGATCAGCCACCTCACTGCATTACACTTTGCTGCTGTGTCTGGGGATGAAAGAAAAACCACACAAAGGAGCACAGCTGCTTCTCGCTGCACTCAGTAGCACATATTTTTATGTGATAAACACAACAGACTGGCAAAAGGAAAGGAAACAGACATAGCTGTGATGATTACTAGCAAATAAAAACCATACAGAAGAAGCAGCATATGACCACCCTAGTATACCAGTTGTTGTTGTGCCATTGCTGAGCTAGTTTCTCTGTCTCTGGCTATTGCTTCATTGCACTTGGTCATAAATGAAAGCTATCTAATGCTAATGACCATGGTGCCCACCCTAATCATGCATTTGAAATATTAATAAAAATAATTTATGTCATGTGACTGCTTTTTAACTAGCTGCTTTCAGGACTTTAGATCAGGATTATAAAAGACATGCATTTATAAATTATTAGCCTTGCGCGCATAAGCACTGCATACTATGGGGAGCACTTTTGTAGCACTTTAAATTAATTTATTGTTATTCATTCCAGCTGTCTGTGATGTAAACCTTTGGCTATAAATTTGTACCATCATCCAACATAACATTAAACTAAAGTGGTGCCCATGCTGCAGCATATAATAAAACATATGAATAAGATTTCTGTGGGGACACTTTTTTTAAACTCTCTTCTCAGTTAATGACACAAGAAAAGCGAGATAACATAGTCACCCCCTAACTGTGCACTCATTAAAATATGTCTGGTGGGGAGTGACTTAAATTTGCACTTCTATTGAATTCTGACTCAATGTTTTTCTTTACCAGATTGTTTCAATTCATATCCTATCTCAAGTAAAAGGCTTTGGCTGAAGCCATCATGAAGTCACTAGCTAAGACTGCCAGAGGATTTCTGTTGGACCTGAGCTTTTCAGGAGTGGAAATAGCTCCTGAGTACTAAATCACAGCAGTACAAGAGTGGAGCACTTTTACTGTCTTACCTCCTCTGCAGGCAAACATTCTTTCTCCTACAGATCACCATAAGGGTAACAAAACCTTATCTGCATAACTAACACCATAATGTCTTAATCCACTTAATGGTATAGATCTTTTTCATACCAGCCCATTGGGATACAATCTCCTGAACTTTAAAGCAAGTTATGATTGTGCAGTGTTCTTCCAAGTGGAGTTAGAACCACCCATTGCTTTGCTCTTTCCATATAGGTCTCGTCTTGCTCATGTACTTGTTAATACTTTTTGTCACTTTTGTGACAGACAACTTCTACCAAGCCTGTTTGAAGGCAATCCTGCCCATCTCAGTCTTCCACTGGTATCAGTATGAGTTTGGCTGGCAATTTCTCAGCTTTGGGTTCCTGACATCAAATGTAGGTATACAGTAACAGACAAAAATCTGAATGTCAGATTTTCTGCTCACATTATATAACTCCCTTAATTTGTGCCAACTGCTCATATATGCCATGCTTTTCAGGTCTAAAGCTTTCTGAGTTATTCACCCAGTAGCAGGGTTTTTGGAAAATTTACTGAGAGCAGAAAATGGCACTCATAAAGAATATTTTTCAGCTATAATTTGATGGAATTAAGTTTTCCTTTATTTCTAAATCTATCTGAAATTTCACAGTTTGGGAATTTTGGTCTTTGATTTGGGATCATCTCCAAACAATTGGCAAGCAGGATGTGTGAACTACTTGGGAATATATGTAGACCAGTAAATGCCCTTCATATGCAAAAATTAACATTCGATGATAGGAAGATTGTATAGCAAGATACTACCTTGCCAGAGGATTTTATTATGATACAAATATCTAGCTCAATGGTCAAAAATTATTGAAGTACATCTAATAAAAGCTTTAGAAAGGAGCCTACAGAACACCCCAGAACTGAATTCTGCCTCAGATAGTTGGACCACACAGGAACACTTACAAAAATGTTGTTACTTCTTAGACAAAATATACCAAAGCTTAAATAACATATGAACAATCTTTATGTGTCTGATTTGCATGCCACAGCAAGACCCTCATGTGGAGAACTGCACAAGAAGGAAAGATAGCAGTGGGGTGGAGTATATAGAAATAACCTGAGCTTTATTTGCACTTTGGGGAAAACTAGATGAGAGATCAGATTTACCTATTTGTGTTATTCCTTCCTCTCTGAACAAAACATATCACAAACTAATAACAGCACTATCAATTTGCATTTTTATATCACTTCCACTGAAAAGAAAAACCAGTTATGGCAATCTTCTACATGGTAACAAAATGTCTTTCTGCTTCTGCCTAGGGATAGGGTCTCCAACTGACAACAAGCAAACAAGGAGTTAGTAGCACCTTAAGCTTCCTTGGCACAAGAGATTAGGACAAGAGACATAAACCACGTGCCTGAGATGCAAAAGGCTGCTGATTCCCGGGTTAGAGGGTGGGCTTTAGCTGTGAGTCTGAAGACATGGATTCTTACAGCTGTCAGGGCTGGTTTGGGGTCTCTCTGCAAAAATTCTCTGTTCATATTGAGTTTCCTTTGACTGAAGATGTGCCCTGCTACTTCTAGCTGCAGGGTTAGTCTTCACCAACAGCTTTTACATTCTGTCTGAGGGTATATGCAGAGCAGCTCCTTTTTATGTTTTTACCCATGTACTGATTTGGGGCTTTTTTGCTAAGATAAAATGTTATTTATCTGATTAAAATTTTCTTTTAAGTTACTTAGTACAAAAAAAAAAGAAAAATCAGTTCTGTGAAACAAACAAAAAAAAAAAAAGGAATATAGACCCTTCTTTTTTATTAATTGGTTTATCACTGTTGCTTGATGTGGTTTTAATTATTTAAGGAGAGTTTCCTTTCTTGTAACACATAGCTTATTGTTATCATGTAACTTACGTGGTCTCAAAAGAAGGGATTCTGTTGTGTTTAAGTTGCAGCAGCTTACAGGATAGTATTCACCTCCCAGCTGCTAATTAATCTGTTCAGTTATCTTTGCTTCCCTTTCCTTACTGATTACATAGAAAGAAGGAGCCTTTTTTCGCCTTCTTACTCAGTCTTTCAGGAGTTGACTGTATTGACTTCATCCTACCAAAGTTTGCTCAAGTCCTCAGACAGCTGTGTAAAAATCATCTGAGGAGGGCTGGTAGCCTGTTCATCTCCTACCTGAGCTCACAGACATGGGGCCTTGTGTACCCAGGAGGGCATCTGTTTCTGTCATCTGAGTCATTAAAGTGATTGCCATGCCTGCCACATCACCACCTCACAGACATATGCTAGCATTTGTGGTACTGTCAAAATATGCTTAAAAGCCCATTTCAGCAACAAGCTTGCTTAGATTCCTTGCCAGAGAATGTTAATTACTGTGGTGCAGTCTTCTGTTTTCTGTGGTGCAATAACAATTAATTTACACCACTTGGAAAAACACTTACACTTTTTTAATAACAATCAATAAAAACAAATCAATATAGTGTAAAGTATACAACATCCAAATGAAAAGCTCTTGCTTTTATACTTGAGAATTCCTAATAAAATTTCATTGTTCATTCAAGCAGCTTGTCTATTCTAATCTAATGAGAAGCTGTCAAGTTTCTTTTTAGCATTTTGGAAATGACTACGAATGGCTAGCCTGATGCATGGCAAAAGAATGCAATAATTAACCCTCAAGATTTAAGTCAATATAATGATGCAAATGCTGCTGTATTCATCTTTCTGCATTGCATCACATATGCACCTGATAGTCCATGGATTCCATTTTGAATCAGGATGGAGGTTAACTTTTATTTATAGCTGTAATTAGAAAACACTATCACTACTGGAGGTTGCTCCATTGGTAGAACGTGTCACCACAGAGTATATTCCCCAGCAATTTTTGCATTTTAACAGGTCAAAGAGTAAAACAAATGAATTGCTTCTTTCTGGGACAACCTGTTTATTCTTCAAATCTGATGATTTACTGGAACACTGATTTCAAAGATTCTTGGAAAAAAATCCCAGAGTTGTTTTTTCTGCCACTGCTGCAACTACACTAGGTGCTGCAAAACCTGGGAAGGTAGTTCACGCTGCTCATTTCATGGCTCCTGGCTCTCCGGCAGCAAGGGCCAAGGAAAACCAATGCTTCCAGGTGACTTAAATCCCAGCTCCTGGCCCCCACCATTGAGGGAATAGAAGTTCTGAGACTTGTCCAGAAGTGATCCAACCCAGCACCTCCACCAAGTAAGTGCTCCCTCAGCTCACAGCAGGACATCCCCAGGTTGCAGTGAAGAACACTTTTCCCTTCACATCCCAAGCTCCTGTTTTCATCACCATGACCCACTGACATGGCTTGCCCATTTCTGAGTGCACCCACAATGATTATAGCTTATTTTTAGGAGTTAATCAGAACAGAAAGAAAGAGGGTACCTTTAGTCCTGTGGATGGGCAGATCACCATTTCCTTTCTACAGGCAGAACTATCATGGGTTTGAGTTTAATGCGGGGATTTTTTTCACAGTGAATTGATAGATGGTGCTTTTTAAATGTGTGAAATGATTCAGATATGACAGCAGGTTTTTCAAAGCCATTAGGCAACTTAGGTAGCTCATGGCAGTGGGGTACAAGGACAAGTGTAACTGAGATTAAAATGCAGTAACTAGACTAAACACAGATCATAACATGGTACCAACTGCAAAGAGTTTAGTTTTCATCTGAACTTGACAAAGGATGGCTAGGATAAGATGCAAGGATGAGGCAACATTTTTGCTTTTGTTCAGAAGTTTATGTAGAAATTGTTTTTCCAAATGTCATAAACACATGAGCACACTCAAGGATCCTCTGGAATAGATGCTTTTGAGCAAGGATCCTCTGGAATAGATGCTTTTGAGGCTTTAAATATTTCACTGGTCCTCTCATTCAGGTAACATACCACGGCACCATGTAAATGTGTAGGAGTGATTTTCCAATGATACTCCTTTTCTTCTTTTAATGGATATCATAACACAGAGAGAAATACTAGACTCAAGCAAGCCCTATGGTTTTGATTGTGGTTAGTCTGACAGTTCTGGTTTGCTTTAAGTGAAAGCTGATGAACAACGGTTTAAAAGGAGAAAAGGAAAACGGCTCCAGCACTGAGGTCAGCCAGCCACTTCCTACACCCAGCTGTTTCAGTTTATTTTTTTAATTAAGTTTGGCTTAAATTAATGGTGACAGTTTAAAGAGAACTCTTTCACCTATTGAGCTTACTTTACATCTGAAACCAAGTCCCTTCTGTCCAATTGCATTTTGTTACAAGATTTGCAGTTAGGTTCCTAAAAGTCCCTGGTTTCTCCCCACTTTATTTTGCCATCTCTCTGCTCTGATATTGCCCTCTGCCCTTTCACGCCCTGTCAAGGGAGGAGTAAAGCTATTACTGCTGCAGTATGGAAACAAAGTGCCTACTAATTGATCGTTAATACTGCCGGAGTGTGAGGATGTTGGGAATTGCTAGATCAAGCCCATTTACTCCAGCTTCTGGGTCAGCTCTTCAGATGGTATAAATCAGTGTTCCTGCTTGCCTTTCTAGCAGCTCAGTGTAGGTTTTCACTGTGGAGGAGTTGATGCAGAAGCTCTTGACTGCAGCTCTGCCCAGGCACTAGGTTCTACAGGGCTTTTATTTAACAAACCTAAGTATGCATTCCACTTCGGAATAGTGGTAGCTTATCTCCAGAAGCCTGAGTATGCGGAGCTCTAGGAGTAACTGCTACGGTTCTCTGCAGTTTAGGTGATGGGGGAAAGAGAAGTTTTTGGTTTGGGTTGTTGTTCTTTTTTTCAGAAAGAATACAGCTTAAACCAAGAAGTTTTCAGATCCTGTGAGATGCCACAGAGTCACAGGTGTGTGCATGGTCCCTATGGCTTTTCTAAACCAGCAGAATCACTGCTTTTTTTTTCAACAAATTTTGTACTTGCTGTAGAGAAGTAAAATAGCATCTGCTCTAGGGGTTTTGGCTTCATTAACATGGGGATTACTTAAACCGTTCATAACCCTCAATTTAAGCCTTCTCTCCAGGCTTGACTATTTTTCTTTCCCAATTAGAGCAACTTTTTTTCACCGATGGGGAGACCTTGCCTTAGTGTTTAAGGTAAGAGCTGATGACTCATAACTAAAATAAGAAATGAAGTGCCACTCCTTGTTTCTCTCCACTTTTGCTAAGAGAGCAGTGAGAATTGCATCATCACTCACTGCAGATATAAACATGATTGCTATGGGTGCAGTTCTCTGTAAACAGTAAAATGCCAAAGATTTCTTATATTAAAATGAGTCCCTTGGCCTGAGTGGTATTAAGTTTGGCAAGGGCTACCCAGGGAGCAGTCCTTAACTGCAGTCTTGAGAAGGCTGTCAAAGCCAAACAGACTTGTGGTGGTTTGGCCATTCATTAGTTGGAAATAGGCTGTCTTTCATCCACCTTATTCCTCCCAGTAAAAGTGAGTAGAGGCAGGGCTGCACTTAGTAATAAGGTAGTGACAAATTAGTCTGACACGTGATCCAAATCCCTGACAGAAATCAGCATGAGCCAAGAAGAATGACCACAGAGGATCGCCTCCTGGGTGAGTCTTTTGCTGCTTTGCAGTACAGTTCCTAAGTTACAACTTGGTAATGGTTACAAATGCTTTATGATGCCTAATCGTAAGAATGTTGTACATTTTTGCCATCACATATTCTTACTGAAATGACTACATGGCAGATGAGATAGCATGCAGTCTGCGGATATCAGGTGAAATCTTCTATAGAAGTTTCTGGGCCAAACTCAGCTAAGGTAATAAATAGCTATGTATGTATCATATAAAACTCAAAAATTGACATAAATGGGAAAGGAGCACAACTTGCAGCAATTTGGTACCTTATATGTGTGCAAGTCAGGATCTAAAAACTAAAGCAGTTGAAAAAAGGTCCCTGTCTCTGCCTGCTCTCCTTCAAAAGTGCCCAAACCATTTAGTTTCTTTTGGATGTCTTTTTCCTGCTTCATTATGAAGATATTTCATTTGTGCTTTAAACAAAACCAGAAACATTTGTAGAATGTAATCACATGTTGTTGTCTTCCAAGCAAATCAGCAGAACCTACATCAATGAACTGAGCACAAAGTCACAATTAACTTTGACACTGAACTGTGCATTTTTTTAGTGTTCCTCTATGATGAAAGTCTCTTCTTCACTGGAAAAAAACCTCCAGCTGTATTTCTGGTCTTTGTCTGAGGTGTTAACAACCAGACACTAACACCTTGTTTTCAATTTGCCTCTGTTGGAGACAGTACTTAAATTTAGGCTTTTCTTTTACTGGCAGTAGCTACAATGGTCTAGGCTTTAATCACCAGCAGCTGTAGAAATGAGAATAGGATTGCAAAAGCAAATGTCCCCTTGAAGATCAGCTGAATTCACATCTGCATGTGCACTTTTTCCGAGTATTACGCTCCAATTTAGTAAGGTTTTGTATACCTTGGGAACTCATTCTTGGCTCTTCTTCCACCTCTGAGTTAAAATCATGCATAAAATACTCATTGTGCAGGGAATGGATGTGAATCTGGGAAGAGAGTCTTTTGCCTGGCTTATTTCAGAGTAAAATTATACAGAATTTAGCTTATTGATTTTCAGAGCCATAAACCTCTGCAAAACTCCTCTTGAAATCAAGCAGACTAGCTGTGCTAGCCAAGCCTAGCGGATGCAGAAGTCTGACAAAAATCCAGCTCAGTCTGACATTTAATATCCAGCTTTTTATGCTGTACCTAGATGGTAGGACACAGATGGGGACTTGTAGGCCCTGGACCACTGGAAAAGCTATTGTGTCCTGATGGCCATCCCACCCCTTTGGCAGAAGTTACTAGAGCAGGGGTGGCAGAAGAGGTAGTTTCTCTGCTTCAGGGCCATCACAGTTCACAGCACGGTGTATTAACTGCAACAGCCATTGATTTCAATTCATGTTAACATGCTGGGCTGTGAGCTGCAGCAGGAGGGGTCTCTGGTTCATGACTCCTGTCAGGTTCAGAAGAGCCAAGGTTATCACCTTAGCACTAACCTCTTTAGCCACCAAAGTTGAATCCAATTCAATCATGAATTGGAGCCCTTAATTAATTCTCCTTTGTAAAAGCCCAAAGCAATCATATTAATGCCAATGAAAAAAAAAAAGTCCCAGATAAGAGTTTGATTGTTTCTTCAATATAAAGAAGAAGAAAAAAAAATTGTTAAAAAATAAAACTCAAATGGCTTTTGGGGGGAACAGATTGGTTTATTAACATATCACATGCACATTCCAAAAAACATTTGTGTTAACAATTAACCCTCACAGTTTCTCAGGACAAAAATAATTGCTACTCTGACAGAATGACTTACATTTTCAGTATTCCTTTAAAGCAAATTACGTTGGTTGAAACATAAGAATATATTTTTAGTGAGGAAAAATTACACCTAAGACAATTTCAACTGCACTCCCACAGTTTAATGCATTTTCTTTTAAAAAGTGAGCAAACCTCAAAACACCTCACAAGTTGGCCATAAATAGCTCATAAACATCTCAGCTGCCTACCAATGCTCCCCAATCACATCAAAATAAAAAAATCAGTCTGAATCATTTTCTGTAGGTCTGTGAATAGAATAATCTTTCTTAATATCTGGGTAGATCTCTCTACTCTTAATAGTCTTGCTTCTGCTCAATCCTGCATATTTCAGAGCTGTCAAGAGATATGCAAGCTATAGAGGACTATGAAAGTTTTGGTAAAGACTAAATTCTGAAGGCTACCATGGTTAGGTCAACATTGTTTTGCTGTTCAATGCAGATGTATCACAAGATTCTGGAAATGAGAAGTGTTGCTCCAGAGAAAAAATCATTTTGGTTTGGTCCTTGGATGTCCTTACATCCTCATGGTCTCATTAGAGTATGTCTGGAAAGACTACTTCAATGTGCAGAGGCTGAGGCAGGAAAGGGTTTTATGAAGGCCTAGGTTGGAAGAATCAATCACAACAAGAAGAAAAATGCTTTCACTCCCCACCCCAAGTGACCACACCAGAGAGGGATGCCCAGACCACAGGTCAACTAGATTGCACTGAATTGTATCCACAATGCTCTGAGCTTCAGTCCTTTGGAGCAGCTTGGTCACATCAAAATACATAGTTGTGGGTCTCACCAGGCTGTTTGGTGACAATACCAATGACTTCAGTATGCATGCACATAAAAGACACCTTTTGATTCAAAGTGCCCACAATGATGAGAAGCGGCACTGACAGCCACCAGTATGGTACAAATACAGCTTGCTTCCATGGGGGTGTGCTGTGAAACATGAGGAGATGTGGAGGTACCTGAGGGCACAAACCCTGCTGGGGTACGGTTTGCCCTGATGCAGGTTAAGGAGCAAACTTTGATATAATCCAGGTTCTTTTGTCTCTGGTGTAGCACCTGGGAGCAAAGCATGCTGTCCACTCTGCATGGGCTCCATCTCCACACAGGACTGCAGTAGCAAGCAGCACCTGTCACAGTGGGGGTGACTGGAGAAAGAGGGTCTAGGAATGAAACAGAGCGCCAAGCAAGCACATGGCATAGGTACCCACTAATACAGATGGAGTAGCTGCACTGTGGTGGGTCACCTCCCATGAATGTCTATAGGATCCCTGGCACTTAGAAAGCATGTGATGGTTAAGTAACTTAACTGCTCTTTGAAATCTCTGATTTGTGGCTGGGGTCTTTGTTGCCTTTTTTTAAATCTTTTTTTAATAACTGAGCTTCACCATCACATCCAGGAATATTTGTCCTGGTGAAGAATAGGGAATAAAGGCTCTGGCAGTAAGATTCTGCAGGAGGGGAGGAGGGGGCAACCCGGTTCTCATGCAGTGGCCTCACAAGCCTGGGTTTCATATAGCATAGCTGGATGTTTGAGTGAAAGCAAAATAATTCTTCAAGTTCAAATTAGGGCATATTTAATCTTCCTTGGAAGTAACAACAAAAAACAAGCCTGTGTGCTTTTAAACAGAAATCTAATAGAAGCAGATGAGCACATGCCAGCCAGCCCTGCTGAACCCCAGCCATGGCTCTGCCCTGTGAACACGTTTTGTCCCGGGATTGCTGACAGGAGCGTGGCTGTGCATGTTACTGGTGAGCAGAGCCCCTGCTGAGCCATAAGCGACAGGCTCTGGCAAACAAAGCTGACATGAAAAAGGCTTAACAGTGTTTAATCTGGGAAGGGAAAAATCTCCTCTAAAACAATCTCAGCCTGATCCACCCCTGACACAAGTGTGGGTTCATCAGCAGGACTGTCCCTCAGAGGTAGGGCACTGGGATCCATTCCACACTGGATTTTTCCCACTTTACAGAATTGGAGAAAACTGAGACATTTTGGCTATTGGCTTTGCACCAGCCTGGGACCTGCCAGGGACAGGCTACACAGAGCCTCAAGCAGACCCTGCCCTGCTCACAGCTTTGGGCTCAGGGGCAGTGATGGTCTGGGGCACTCGCCTGGAGGGCTGCAGCTCTGGCTGCTCACTGCTGCACCTGAGCACAGAAAAGCCCCCACAGTAAGCTGGCAGAGCTGGCGATCAGCAAAAGGAAAAGCAGTGGATTTTTGGTTTTCACCCTGATGAAGTACAAGCTATTAGAACCTTGCAGGTCTCTTGCAGAGTGTAGTTACAGGCACTTAAACTACAACTGCATCTTAAACCTCTGCTTTTGTTGCAGTAAGCCAGCCCTGAATCCTGGGTTCAGAATCTGTACAGAAGGAGCTGTGCTGGCCCATGGGGAGGAGCTGCTCCCTGGAGAGGGGAGATGGAGGCTGCCACAGAGCAGCTGTGGAAATCCCTCTGCAGGACCATTCCAATGTCCTCATCCTAGCTGGCACAAGGCTGGGGAGCAGCCACAGCTTTGGCAGGACTCAGTGGAGATGCTGAGTCACCAGTGTTGAGGTCTAGGACACCTGGACTGAAGTGAGAGGGCAGAACTGTGTCCTGGCTATCCCAGAGCTAGGGACAGGCACGGGCTACACCAGGGTCCCACTGCTTTGGAGATGTGGATCCCAGGCTGTGGGCCGCTTACAAGGCAAGAACAGCCCCTGGCTCCAGCTGCTTCCTGGTGATGTGTGTGCACAAGTCCTAGTGGGTGCGTTTGGACCCCTTGCCCTCCAAGTGCCACTAGCCACATAAGCACAGATGACAGCAGGGAGCACTTATGAAACAGTGAGGTGGAGGCTCCATAGGGCCTGGATGGAATGTTTCCCCAGATAAGCCTCTTTCTCAAGGGAAGAGTAGGGGAAGCCATTTTCAAACTGAGAGCTGCTAAGCTCCATCTAAGAGAAAAACCATAATGTGACCAACCATAATGTGAAAAACCATAATAAGACCCAGACAGGATGCCAGGTTGTCTGGGGTTTTTTAATGGGTTAAAATGGAGCCAGTTGCAGCAAAAAGCGCTGTGGATTTATTCAGCTGTAGAACTGGCACACAGCAGGTGCCTTGGAGGGACAGAGGGAAGGAGCAGAGGAAAAATAAAAAAGGCTGATGACAGCAAGCAGCCAGGGAGAAAACTCTGGAAGGTTCAGCATGCAGGAAGTTGCACGCATGCTTTATGTCACTGCAGAACATTAAATGAGCACTTAAAAAGGTAATTAGCACCTTTTCATGGGACCAGAAATCAAAGGTGCAATTTACCAGAAGTCGGTGAACAATGTAAGAGACCCAATTTAATTGTGTTGTGTAGCTTAGCCAGGGTGAGAAATCAGAAGCCTATCTTGGCTGAATGGCTGTACTTGCAGCAAAGCCACTTTTGTTCCCCTGACAGGACAGTGCCACCATCACCAGAACCACACTTCGTGCAGGCAGTGAAGAGATGTGTGCTATTTTGAATTCTATTCCATCATTTTCATTATTTCACATTAAAAGAGAAGGGACTGCGATACATGGAAGAAAATGCTCTTGTCTAAAAGAGGCAGCAATTTGTAGCCAAGCTTTGGCGTCACAGTTCAGATGTTATCTTTCACAGCCTCCACACAGGCTGACAGGATCAGACTGCTCCAAAGTTCAGGAAGAAGGGGAGGAAATGCAGTCTTTAGTTTAGCCCATTGCAGATGAAAGGTGATCTTTCAATATTCAGATTTCATTTTAGACTTCAGACTGTCCAATCCTGCCTTACAGATTTGAAGTAGGTGACTCAGCTTGCTTCTAGCTTTGATATCAAAGGAAATGTTCAAAAGATCAAATAAATAAATAGGAAAGAAAATAACAAACAACCAACCCAGTAGTAAAGTTTGAGTGCCATATAAAGAAACTAAGCTTTAACTCAGTTATTTTTCAAGCCATAGCTACATCATCCGATTATTGGGATTTCACAAATAAGAATGTGAACTGTATGTGAGCACAATTGCAATATCAAGAAATCAGGCTGTTAGCTGATTAACAAAGCTGCAGTACAGCAGATCATGTCTAATGTTACACCACCTAGTGAGGATTAAACTTTGTCCCCTGAACGTTACTGCCTTTCCAAGATTTCTGTCTTCCACTCCCCACTAAATCTTCATATGTGTTTCCATGGCAGCTTGGAAAACCTGGAAGTCCTAACTATGGTAGACAGAACTCTAGATTAAAATGGCTAATCATACTGGCCAGCTTTTGATAAACACAGGCAGATGCTGACATAGAATCATAGGATGGTTTGGGCTGGAAGGGACTTTAAAGATCATCTGGTTTTAACCCCCCTGCCACAGGTGGGGACACCTTCCAGTAAACCAGGTTGCTCAAAGCCCCATCTAACCTGGCCTTGAACACTGCTAGGGATGGGGATCCCTCCAAAGGGCATCACAGTTGCATCTGAGAAAAGATCTGAACTGCAGAGCAGAACTGTTTGTATCCATATGCAGTTCCTCTATCAGTGACCACAGTGCAGACAGTGGAAGATAACAAACTTGGAGGTGATGTGGCCCCTACCAAACATCTAAAGAGAACAGTTCTTACTGGCTCCTACGTGATAGCTCTGGAACAAAGATCTGACCTTGTTTTCTTAGACCTAAAAAAAAAAAAAAAAAAAAGGAAACCCCCCAAACCAACCAAACAACAACAAAAAAGCAGTTGTAATAACTGTAATGTAATGGGACTACACAAAGTGAATTTTCAAACTCTCAACCTCAACAGTATGTCTTGTTTATATAAGGATTAGGTCCTGCGGAACTGTAGGCGACTGAGATTTGGATAGAGTGGGGAATAGTCCAAACAATAATCATTCCAAATCAAGAAAACTGAAAAGGCAGTAATCAAAGCAGGTGACCTGGCAAACTCTGAGAAAGATCCAGTTTGCTTAAGAAAAATTCAACAAGCATGAAGTATGTCTTTTTGCTGTAAGACACTCAACTCAAATAATATATTACCGTGCTCCTAATTATTATATCTAATTATAGATTGTCTTAAGCACATTGGCAAGGGAAATATGTTATAAAATGTACATTGAAATATTAGTGTACTATTGCTGAGTCAGCTCCTGGGACATGAAGCATTAAACATCTGAATCTGTCGCTGTTTTTATGCTGCCTAACCACACAGCTAAGCTGTTTTGCTGCAAACTTCTCCTTGTTGGTTAAATTTAGCTCCCCCATTCTCCACGTGCAATCTGATACTCCTAAAGAACTGTCTTTCCCATTCTCGAACTTTTTCCTCCACCAGGCATTTGTTTCCCCAACTGGCTTTATTTCTTTTTTTTTGTTTAAATCTGTACTGTAAACATTGATTGTTTCAAGCTTCACTGTAAAACTGTGACATTTGTTGCTTGTTGCTTTATATTGCAGCCTGATATCACACTCTTGCAAGCCCTGCTATTCTTGTGTATGCTTTGTACTCTTGGTCAGTGGATGTGATACACTGTCATCTACATTCTGCATTCATCACTAAATAATATCCTACAAACCACTTGGAAGATTTGGACATGGAGGATGAGTTCACATTAAGTGAATCAGGATATTAACCTATGGGGAAAAGATACTTGGCCACAAAGTGTGGCAGAGAGAGCCCTAGAAGAATTGCTTTTCACTATAGGTGTCCATGAGTGAGTAACATGAAGAGCATCTGATTTGGCACTGTGTTTCAGCAGCTACATAGAATCATAGAATAGTTAGGGTTCGAAAGGACCTTAAGATCACCTAGTTCCACCCCCCCTGCCATAAAATATATTATGGCCTTTCTTAAAAAAAAAAGAAAAAAAAATAGCATTTAACATTAAATGTTAAAGTTAATTACTCCAGGTTTTTTTTAGTAAAATGGGGAAAGGTCCCTAAATCATTGCATTTAGTCATTTCTAACCACTAATCTTTTAAAGTAATCCCCTTAAAACACCTCTGAATTTCCTCAAAATCTCCAGGTGAGTTTCAAGAAATTACATGACAAATTACTTCAGATAACCATTGTACAGTCAGGTGGTGATGTGCAATACAGCTCCTGTTCCTTTGTCTCTTAGTTATAATCATGCACTGTGGTTGATAATTGTATTAAAATGTACAGCA